GAGCGGGGCCGAGGCCCCGGCCCGCCTTCCCTGGCCGAATTGTGCCCACTCACAGGCGCCGCTCACAGAATTCTCACAGGTACCGCTCACAGCATTCTCACAGACCTGTCCCCCGCTCACAGGTACCGCTCGCAGAATCGCTCACAGAAAGCTCACACAGGAATCACAGAAGAATACATTCGAGCGATCCCAGAGCTTGCAAGGCACTGCAACTCTTAACCCTAAGCCCTAAACCCTAAGCTTGGCTTTAGGGGTCTTGGGTTTAATGAAGGACCTGGCGAGATCCTGAGCCTCCCAGAGCATCCCCTTCATCATCAAAAGAGGTAGGGAGGCAGAGACAGGGCACAAATAGGGAGGAAGATGGGGTTTAGAGTTTAGGGGGGTTTAGGCTTGATAGACGAACAGCTGTATGCATAGACGGGTGCAGTGGATAGATGCAGTGCGTAGCTAGAGAATTCGGCGGACAGTGAGAGACAGATTCCGAGATGGAGAGAGATCTATAGATGGAAGGAAGAAGGAGCGATAGAGAGAGTGAGAGAGAGAGAGGGGGAGAGGGACAGAGGGAGGAGAGACTGAACAGAAATCGGACACACAGGCAGCCTGGGCAAATAAGAACCGTGACATACACATAGAGAGACGGTCAGACAGACAGAAAGACAGATGGTGCAGGCACGGAAAGGTAGATAAATACGAAGGCACGTGCACGCTCTGGCAGACCGTTAGATGAATGTTGTGCCAAGCCCGAGGCATTCTTCTGGTGACCTTGTTCATCTTCGCCGGGTTTTGGCATTCCTTCGCAGCACCCGGGATCAAAAAGCCCTAAGCCCTAAACACTAAAGCTCCTGAGCCCCATTAAACCCTAAACTCGAATTCTAAACCCTAAACCCTAAACCCTAAACCCTAAACCCAAAGTTTGAGAGCCTCAAAAGAAGTTGAGGCCTTGTTCCCACCAAATGGGGGTTTCCGAAAATAGGGGACCCTAATATAGCACCATAAATCATAGGATCCTTATTATAAGGACCCCCAAATAAGGTACCCCTTGTTTTTGGAAACTCCCAAATCTCAGGCGTTGACCCTGGCCCAGGGCCTCCTGGACCAGTATCAGGCGGGCTCGGTTCCTCTCAGGTAGAACAAGGGTTTCTTTCAGGGTTTAGGGTTTAGGGTTTAGGGTTAGTTTCCTCTAAGGTATAATAAGGGTTTCTATAAGGGTTCTTCCTAAACCCTAGACCCTAAACCCCAAACCCGAACTACTAAAGGGTTTCCGGGTTGAGGGTTCAAGTCGGTGCCCTGTCCTGCACTGGCAGATATGTTTAGGGTTTAGAGTTTAGGGTCGGATAGGATAGACTTAAGGGTTGAGGGTGCAGATCCAACGTTTTGGCTCTGCTTTCGCTTTGCGTCTTGCAGTCCTTGGTAGGTGCTGCTTGCTACCCTGCGCCTCCTGATCCTCGGTGACGGTGATGGAGCCGCAGATTCTTGGCGCCATGTATGAAAAGGGCTCTCCGACTGGCATGTCAGTCACATTTTGGATCATGACTTCGATTTAAACTGGTTTTCAGCATGGAAGCACCTCTGCTCCTTAGGCCCCGAGTCCTAAACTTGAAGCCCTAGATCCTAAGCCCCTAACCTCCGAAACATGAGAACCCTAAACCCTAAACCCCAAACCCTAAACCCTAAACCCTCAACCCTAAATCCTAAACTTTCTTGCAGTAGGGGAGAGCAGTTGTAGCCATGTCTCGGGCCCGTCCTGGCTTCCCCCCCAAAGCCTGAAACAGAACGTGGCTGGGAGAGTCAGTGCTGGCGGATATTTGTTTACGGGTTAAGGGGTTTAGGCTTGGGGCAGGAGTTTAGGGGTTTGGGAATTAGTAATCTGGGTTTCAGGGTGTAGGCTTTAGTGAAAGGGGCCCGGGTGGCCTGGAGGGGTCCCGATGCGAACCGAAGGTGGTCCATAAAGTGGACTTGCAAAGCCCAAGCTCTTGACGTGAAGTACCACAAAGTCACTGGCGTCAAGCTCGAGGGGTATCTGTAAATCACAAAATCTCCGAAACCCGGAGCCCCGACTTTCATTCAGGCGGCACTGTAAAGTCAGGGCTGGCTCGTTTTGTTCACAGTTCGGCTATCCCTGTCGACCTTGCAAGGTGGTGCTTGGGCTCTACAACGGTGACGAGGAGTTCGACAATTTGTGCTATCCTAGATTTCTAGATGCATATACGAATAATCGTCATCGTAACTGTCGTCGTCTGCGTCGTCCGCATCATCGCCGTCAGCATCAGCATCAGCCAGCGTCGCGAGCACCTTCAATTGCTTTCAACTATCATCAGAATCAGAGCGACCATCATCACTATCACCTTCATCATCGCCGTCATAGGCATCAACACTATCTTCTGATTCATGATCATCACCACCATCATCATCATCACCATCATCATCCCTTGTCATCATATCATCATGATCTGATCCTACCATGGTCCTGGGTTCATCATCGCCATCATCACGATGGTCATGGCGCACTTGATAGTTCCTTAAGAACAGGGTTAGGAATTAGAAGCCCTAAACCCTGAACCCACAGCTCCAAAATCCTTTTCCACTAAACCCTCCACCCTCAACCCAAAACCCAAAGCCTCTCCATACCCTAAACCTTCAAACACTGAAAAACAATGTGAATCACGAGCCCACTTCCCTTTGAGCTAGGCCAAAAATATGCTGGTTCAGGGCTTTACAGCTCGGGTTTTGGGGTTGGGGTTTTTAGGCTTCGCGTTTTAGGGTATCAAGGTTTTAGGCTTTTAGTGTTTAGAGGTTAAGTTAAAGGCTGCACTCAGAGCTTTGCGCTTCCAGGGTCTAGGCTTGCCCAGGGTTTAGGGTGTCTCTGAAACCCTATCTCCTAAAACCCTAACACCCTAACACCCAAAACCCTAAACCCTAAAACCCCAAACCCTAAAACCCTAAAAAGCCTGAAACCCTAAAACGTCTAAGTAGGCCCTGACCCACAGGCTGTTCCCTTCCTCCGACAGGAGCTCGGCTCACACATCACCTTTATTCTTTGGTTCATTGCGGCAGCTCGGTTCAAGATGGTTTCGCAAACCCTAAGCCGTAAATCGTAAACCCTAAACCCTAAACCCTAAATTCCCCCACCTCGACGAAGAAAAAAACAGTGCTATCTGGTCTATCTCGGACCGGTGGTCCTCGCTGTCCTCACGGAAATTGAACAGGAACTGGAGCTGCGACAGTTCCAGCCTACACAAGCCGGTTTAGGGTTTAGGGTTTAGGATTTAGGATTTAGGACTTAGGGTTTAGGGTTTAGGGTTTAGGATTTAGGATTTAGGGTTTAGGGTTTAGGGGTTAGGGTTTAGGGTGCCACGACACCCTGAACCTTCCAGCCATATCCTGTAGCCCTAAACGCCCTTAACTCCGAGCAATAAGAAATACCACAGAGCCCAATACCCCTTAACTGGAGAATTGACCTTACATCACAGGGGGCTTAATATGACGATGTAAGGCATAGTCCTTAGCAGCGAGGGAACTGGCCCCTTCTAGGATGTAACTTCAAAATAACCCTAAACCCCCGCAGCCCTAAACCCTAAACCCCGCACCCTAAACCCGAAACCCTGAAAGGGCCACGTGCAAGGTGATCACTTTCTGCATCTGCCTGCTGAACCTCTTCATCGCCGTGCACGGGGCCTCCTGGCCATGTCATTTTGGTAAACAGTTAGGTTGGGATTTAGGTTAGGGTTGACGTAGGGGCCTAAATAATTACCTATAGCATTTTGCGGGAATTCCCTTTATGATCAGTATAGTTTAATGGGCCCCAAAACCTTCTTCTGATTATTAAGGTTCCTATGTTGAGCGTTGATGGTTTCGGGCTGAGGGTTGAGGGTTGCAGGCGGAGGGTCAAGGATTGAGGGTTTCGGGTTAAGGATTTAGGGTCTCGGGTTCAGGGTTCAGGGTTTTTTTGCATGTGATGGTTGAACTCTTCCGAGTGCACACGCATGCATGTCTGCGCAAAAGCGTCAGCTGCCAAAGTCCCACTCCGTGGGCAGTGGCTTGAGGGGTCCGACCTCGTTAGGCCAGATGGATGCACGGTCCCCCTGCACATGGACCTTGTATCCAAGCACAGCTTCACTTCCCGCGCTCCGCGCTAGGATAGCTTGTGCAGCAAAAAGGGCGCAACGCGCTATTCCGTGAGCGGAAGCGCTCGTAGGAATGACCGCTACAGGCATGTCGTCCGGAGTGAGGTGGTATGCAATGCCATGAGCGATGAGCTGGTGGACCTGAGTCTCTGTCAGCCCATTGGTAGCGGACTGGAGCCAGGCAGTGATGAAGCGAAGTCCATCGAAAGAGGCATCGGTGGCAGTCGAAGGGGCTGACTCAGGCCGCAGGGTCGCCCACCAAGGTGCCGGTCCGCTGGTTTTGCAGGCAGGCCGCCAAGCATGCCTGCGCGAAGTCTCCGCGACTTCGCGGCTATCAAGATCGGACTCCGCCCAGACCTTCAAACATTTGGGCTGTCTGCGCAAATGATCTCGGAGCCGCTTGGTGCTCCAAAATTCGGTACTACATACTTCACATCGAGTACCGTTTGCCACAGCAGTTGATGTGGCAACACGGCCGTGAGCCTTGCTCATGTGAGCTGCAAGTGCGGCCGCGGTCTTGCATTGCAGAGCACAGTCGGGACACTTGTGCTCTGGCCCGGTATGGCAGCTCCCCTTGAAGTGAAAGAAGTACGCCCCCGCGGTACGGGCCGCGGCGAGATTGGTCCACCTAAGTAAGTGTTCCTCTTGCCTTCGCCGTGCCCTGCCACGGCACTTTCTAGCAAAACTACTGGCCCACTGTCCGGCGAGCGAGGGATCGGCCGAGAGGCACTCCCAGCTGCAAGTCGCGACAACACTTGCACAATCTTGGAGGGCTTGGAGGACCTGCTGATGCCAGGAACCTGCATCGAACCATAGTGCCCGTAACACAGGCGA